TAAGTCGGAAACAATTCGACAGCACCTAACAACAACAACAACAAAAACCTATCTATTGTTTGGCTGGAAGCCACAGGAGTGAGTTCAGTTCCAGATCTGAAGGGTAACTAGGGGCCATAGTCCCAGGGGTCTCACCAGGTTCTGTCAGACTAGGAAACCTGGTCTTTCTTTCTTTTTTTTTTTTAATGATTTTTAGTTTTTTTCCACATTGTTCTCCCACTCTATCCAAGATCTCCTGCACTAATTCCCCTCCAAGTGGTTGACAGTGGTAGCCAGGCACCATCTAGCTCTTCTGGTCTCCTGGTCTAATAGGCTAAGGATTGCATGGTCCACCAGTCCCTTGGGCTAATTGTTTCCATGTGTCTTTGGTTTTCTTCATTCTTCTTCACTCTGGAGAATGAGAGACCCATTGCTGCATCTAGATGGCCGCTTGCAAGCTGTTAAGACCCCAGTTGCTACTCACCAAAGTAGGACGTAGAACAGTGTTTTTGTGTAGTATATCATGCCAATTGAGCTTGGTATCCCCTGTGACCATGGTCTGGAGCCCACAGGTCCAACTACTCGCTCCCTCAGTGTAGCTGGCTGTGGCCAAGAAACCACCACAACCTTGTCCCTTGTCAGCTCTACTATGTACCCAGACATTCTTACAGCACTTACTAATACACTTGTAGAAACATCATCTGCCAACCCTATACATGGTCATGGGCACACTCCCCTCTATCTAGGCATACTTGATTGTGCAGCCTGTCCACCCATCTATCCACCTGTAGGTCAATGCTTGCCTTCAATGACAACACAATACCGTGCATGCAAAGGGGTTCATCTTTGTTGTCTGTACCTCCCACATACCTCTGTCTTCCTTTTCCTCAATGCCACCACGTTGATCACTCACTTTGGGTACATTGGCCTTCCTTTCACCCAAATCAATATGTTTCCACCTATCTATCTATCGGATCCGACTGGACGGCAGTGGAGTATTCTATTGCACGTATATACCATAGTTTGGTTATCCATTCTTCTGTTGATGGGCTAGGAATCATGTATTTTATCTGACAGCACTAACTTGAGAAAATAACATTTCCATACCCAATATACACTCAGCGTTTATTGCTGTTATTGTTATGTGCCGTGGAGTCGGATTCAACTTATAGCGACCCCTCCTTGGGTTTCCAAGGCGATATCGGTAAGGAAGTAGCTTGTCCAACCTTCCTTCCGAGGTGGGTTTGAACCGCCAGCCTTCTGGTTAGCAGTCAAGTGCCTTAGGC